AAAATATCGTTGTTATCCGGTTTAAGGGCCTCAAAGAGGCCCTTAATAGTCGGTTTTATTTTTTTTATCTCCAATAATAATCTGGCTAATTCTCTCATTTTTCTTGAAGCCACTAGAATGAAATGGTTCTCTCTGTGAATTTTTAAATATCTAGATGCAAATGCACATATTAAGGGATCCTTCTTAGCAACTAGCGATATCTTATCGGCCCTCATTCTTGGAAAAACATTAATTTTTAGTTGAGAGTCCACTTTTAAATTCCGAATTAAAAAGTTTTGAGCTTCAGCCTGAGAATTTCTCATAGAGTATCCTTTATTTGGATTTTCGCTGCAATTTTTGCGGTGTCTCCATAAATTTTTAGACGAATAATATCCTAGGCAATGTACGCATGGTAAATAATTTGTATCTTCATTACCTTTTCTAACTGGTTTACTGATATCGGTGCTACTCTGCAGGTAATTTCCTTTCTTTCTTAAAGCAAATAGTAATTTTTTTCTGTCTTTGCTTTGCTTATCCAGTGATAATATTTTTTGTACATCAATTTCAGATTTATGGTTTCTTTCGATATGTCTAGGAAAATTTAAGACCTCCGTCTCGCAATAATAACAAAACGTACTTTTTTTACATTTTTCTTTAGAAGTTGTTACAGTAGTTGGAGTCGTATTGCTAATATCCTTATCTAAATTCAAATCTTCGCAGATTAAGGGACTCTCGGGTGGCGTGCAGCAGATTAAAGGGGAACTAACGTTAGAAAATATTTCCTGAAAAAACATTCATTTGATTTTTCTTACAATTTATTATTACTAATGCTGCCTAAAAATTTGGTAAAAATTAGTTTAGGACCGAAAGAGGATTGAGCTGGTATTTTCATGAAATACATAAGATTTTCTAAAATGAAGATACTTGGGTCATAGGTTACCATGAATTGCGTGGGATGGTTTTATTTTATACTGCAAATATTTTTTTTACTTTATTGAAGATTTTATTTTTCCAATTAATTTGTTCAGACGTACCTTTTTATACTTTTTATACTTTTATATTTAATGAGATAACATTTTTTGTGAAATAATAAACGCCTTCTTAACATTTTAAAATCTGAAATAGATGTAGGAACGACAAGTTTTACAACCAGATCAACATAGTAAAAAAAAGGAATTCGGAATTTGTTTAAGAAGAGAGACAAGTTATTATCCAAGTATGATTGAATAAATATGAATATTATTTATTCGACAATTTATAGTACCACCATAAATCATTCGATTCTTGTGGCTTCAAAAACAAATTGACAAATTAGTCAGATTTTTGTTGGAGACAAGAAGAGCAAAAGTACATATAAATTCCCACCTCTGCGTTCATTACCGACCACTATCTCGAAACTATGTTGCGCTATCAAATTTCATGTTTCTAATCAAACCTTAATATTGCACGTCAATATTCTTCAATATTTAAATATTAAATAAAACTGTTTTTTTGTAAAAGATGTAGGAAAACTTTCTTTAGTGCAGAATAATCTAACGTAACAGATTACTCCAGGGAAGCAGGGTATGCAGGCTAGTTTGGTGAATATTTATAATCACTCTGAGAATATTCACGCAGATGAAGGATTTGGTGAAATTATTTTAGTGAAATTATAGAAAATTTATTAGATATCCCAGCAAAAAGGAAAATTTCATCTACGAGAATTGATGTGGTCTATTAGAAAACAACAATAAAAGTCAAAAAATTCATACGTCAAATTAAAAATTGTTCCCAGTATTTTCTTATCGCTCTCTGTCTAATGTGTATTTTAAAGGCAAACCTTTAGCCTCTTTCTAGTAAACGCTCTCCAACGTGGCTTATTTATTGTAGAGAAATGAATCAAGGCGCCTATTACATTAAAAAATATTTCCATTTTAACAAAAGCGGAGAAACATAAGTCTGAACAGATTAATTATATAAGGTTGAACATATCATAAATCTTCCTCCAAAGATGGTAACTTAGTTTTTAAGTAAAATTTGTAGAGATGCGCATATAACTTCAAGAAATAAAATATGTTTTTTTTTATTTTTGTAATTTATATCATTTCATGCCTTTTGTTTTTCACGTAGCATAAGTTACTAACCGACTCATTATCACTAGGAAGATATTCTGGATCTGCTTTGGAATTATTTGAAGGCAAAGAATTAGAAGAGGATTCGTTTTTCTAAAAACATATTCCCTTTTGAATATATATAATAAATTTACGAATAGGACAACTTACGTCATTGATGTTTGCCTTAAATGAAAATGAAGCTCCAAAATCCTGCATTGGTTGCTGGTTTGATAATCTAATTTCTTCACACTATAGCAAAAGTAATCGCTTAGACGCAAATATAAATAAAAACATACTGTGTGTCGGAAGAGAAAGCAAAGCAATATCCATCCTTAAAATTTTATCTGAAAATTGGAAGCTATAGTGGAAGAACGTATTCAACGTTCACTTGCGTTTCACTATGAGATGTGGTTTGAAACAATCGGTGAGAATGTTTAAGAATATTTAAATAGTTACTAAAACTTCTTAATTGTTTCTAAATCTAACAATATTTTCAAAAACTTTTAAATACGAATTTATAAAAATATCTGCAATTTCCTATCTCTTCAAAATGTACACTTACGCTTTCAAAATCATTTGTGTTTAGATCTTTTGAAACGGCATTCGGTGTAAGAGGTGATGGTTCGTCTAGGGGTTTGTTACAAAACCACCTATTTTTTTTCTTTATTGAGTTTGCACCACAAACTGCATACTATAAAAAGTTATATTTAGATATGGATATTTAACAATAATGTAATACTTGCGTATTCTTCAGGAAATAATCTTCGCGCCATGCTGAAATAAGTATCCCATTAATGTTTTTTACTTAATAAAAATCATTCAACAAAAAATAGCAAATTTGCAATGCCTAAATGGAGATCACAATCTCAAATTTTAATTACTTACCTAACAATTTTCCTACTACGAAACATGCACAGAACCGTAAAAACACGTGAAAATTAAAGGACGCACACAGCTTCAAACAGAAGTAACCGCCTTCGATGCTCTAATAAACGGTTCCAAATTCTGAGACATTTGGCAACGCGGGTGGTGAACTTATCCACCGTAATCTGTAATATTTAAATATACTCGGAAGACCAATATTGCGTAATATGTAATCCATTTATACATGAGGACTTGACTGTGTTGGATAAGGAAGACGCATCCTCTGGAAAATATGTGAAAATTGAAAAAATAAATAGTTAATTATTTTGCAGAACACGTTTGTATACTTCCCAATTATCCAGTATACGCGCAAAAAATTTAAATATACACTCTCCTTCTGGGAGAAGACCTATTGCTGCGCCACATGTGGACGAGCTATATCATTACGGATGTAAATATATATATATATATATATATATATATATATATATATATATATATATATATATATATATATATATATATATATATATATATATATATATATATATATATATATATATATATATATATATATATATATATATATATATATATATATATATATATATATATATATATATATATATATATATATATATATATATATATATATATATATATATATATATATATATATATATATATATATATATATATATATATATATATATATATATATATATATATATATATATATATATATATATATATATATATATATATATATATATATATATATATATATATATATATATATATATATATATATATATATATATATATATATATATATATATATATATATATATATATATATATATATATATATATATATATATATATACATATACATATATGTATATATATATATATATATATATATATATATATATATATATATATATATATATATATATATATACATACATACATACAAAGTTTTAATATTTCTGGCAATGTTATTGCCAATTTCTCTGATGTGATTGTTCTAATATGTTTTAATTTTGTTTCTTTATTTCTTAAATGATTTCTTACCAAACTCGACTGAAGTATCTTTTCTTTTTTCGAGATTTGTAAGCAAACTTAGATAATTTTCTCGTCTTGATATTTTAGCAACAGCAAAATTAAACGTTTTCTCCTTTCATTTTGAAACTTCAATTCGTTTCATCCCCAGTGGAAAGCAAACAAATTTGTGGAAAAACGTTGCTAGAGGCTCTAAGACCAAATTTTATCCTGTCGTTCTAATCTCAGTTGTTTGATTTTTTACCCATCTTGGTGGTGACGAGTGAACGTTCACGCTCATGTTTTCTGTATTTTTTTGCTAGCGTTTTTTTAAGTTATATTATTACTTACATACACGACAGTTTCATTATTTTCATATATCAATTAACTTGTCAGCTTCGAGACTCTAGTCGCAGACAATACTTTTGATACAGTTCTATTAACAGGGACATGAATAAGTAATCACAATACTGATTTTTTTTTGTTCGGTCATATATCTTTTAAGACTAACGGAAGATTTAATAGAGGCAGTGGAGCGGGGACCTGCCTCAAAAATAATTTGGAAGTAATCAATTCTCTGAAAACAATTTGCTTCTAGCTTAAGTGAGACTCTAAAAATTGCCAAATTTTTATTCGTAAATTTCAATTTTAAAAATGTTGAGAATATTTTGTCAGCTATGTGGATGGGCGATTTAAATAGTATTACAAGACCAGGCGAGAAAACCACAGTTTAACGACGACTAACAGTTTCTAAGACACGACCTATGCATTGTCCCGGGTCTCCCAGTAAGAACAACGAGGTACGGAGCGGAAACGGATGTTCCTAAAAATTTCTGGGACATCCTGTATATCTTAAAATATAATCATAGGGACCTTGACTCATTTTTCAGGCGGATTGACCGGGACTCATTTTCAATTTGTGCAGGGTACTTAAAATTACGTAATCGTGAACCGCCATAATAACCTTGAAATTGCCGTCAAATAGCAAATTTATAATATAAAAAGTAATAGCATACCAACCTTTTGTACTTGATTTCCTTTGATGTTCAGCTTCATTAGCCTTAACCCGTAGAAACTATAACTCGGCAGCTCTTTGATTTCGTTTGCCTCGAGATCTAACGCGATTAGTTTGTTTAGTCCCTTAAAAGCTTTTTGCGGTACTTCTTTTAGTTTTCCGGAAACCAGACTAAATGATTCCAAATGAAGTTTCAAAGGAAATAACGAGTCATCTTGCAACTCCTGGATGCTCGATTGCGATATCTGGAGATGTCGGATTACGGATCCCTCGAGGAAAAAGTCTTTCGGCAGTCTAATCTGCAAAATGGAGATGTATCTATATTGTATAACAAATTTACTTGAAGCGCAAAAATAAAACTTAAGCGACTCGTAAAGAAATGGTTCTTTGAAAATGTTCAAGCAATGAGACTTTTGCGAAATTCGATTAGAGTGGTTACACTTTGAAACAACGTTTCTGTTCATTTGCGTAAGAATTCTAAAAGCGAGTGGTCGTTATATTAGAGTAAGATCACGTCAAGTGGACCCCCCATTTACCACTTGATCGTAAAAATTTAATCTATAAATATTTTTTATAAGTACTCATAATAGAAAATTGATTCTCCAAACGATATTTTTTAATTTTGATTTTAACAACATTTTTTTAATGAAATTTTAAGCACTTTTAATTAAAAAATGGATTAAAAGTCAACCGCAAGAGATAAATTTATGAAATTTTCAGCATCCATCGTCAAACGTCTATACTTTAAGAATATATTAACGACTTTGTTTATTTTCGTATTGTTAACTAACTTTGAAGTTAACAAATAAAAATTTAACCGATTTCTTGGGAAAAAAGAGATTTTTTTTAACGGTCACATGCTTTATCCATTTAAGTTTAAGATTCCGGAAGAAAATTTCACTGATCGCCATTAGTTTAAACAAAATGAATTTATTTATGACAGCGCGCCGGGCGTCGAGCGCTGTGGAAGCGCCGCGCTGCCGAGCGTCTCCAACTGCAAGTTTTATCAGTGATAATTTAAAATAATAATATAAAATATTATTATAAAACAAATTTTATTATTATTTAAGTTATTTTATTATAATTATTATTAATAAAATTTCATTTTTTTAACAATGTTATAAAGAATACTATCAATTTTTTTATTATTTTTACCAAACAGCGTAAATTTAGAAAAAAATAATCAACTTTAAATTTTTAAAACTGTTTGTTTTGGTCCATATTTATTTTCTCTAGGTAATTTTGTAACGGTCTATTTTTCACCGTTAGCGCTTCCGCCAATTCGTCAAGAACCCTGGTAAAATTTTCGAACGGGAGGATATCCTTAGTAATACAGCCAATTTTTTTATTTAGGATCTTATTGCACTTATACGTTACTAGGTACAGTTAACATAAGCCATTAAAGGATATTTCTAACGTAGTATTGAGAAATTTCGTGTAGTGGTGATTATCTTCTTCCAACTCTATATATAATGCCCCTGCGTCGCCTTCGCTGGTCTTGTGGCGACATTACACGCCAGTGCATGTAGACATGTTTGCATACTTCCTTAGGTTGAGACCTTAGTACTTCTTGGATGGCTTGAGGCTGCTCAGAGTTGTAACGGTTATTGCAGCCATTGCTTTCGTTCGTCCTGGTATATTCCTGCGACATCCCTCGCACTCGAGGCTCCGTAGCATTGCCTGTCTCTATTCTAGTTGTCGCTCCTTAAAAGGAGAGCGATCAAATCAGTATCCAAGGCTATAAGAGAAGTTATGCACCACATGGTTATTTCAGGTTAGTTGGTTGCTGTTCCCTGTATTCGGGTTGTTATGCATAGAGGGAGCATTTTAGTACCTACCTGGCTGTTATTTGTACACACCTCCCTGGTTCTTGACTTAGAAGTCAGTATTTCTTTCAGTATTCGGTTTGCCGGCATTGTTTACGTCCGTCGCCTCCCATCACCTGACAGGTATTTGGCGGTGTTGCCGGAATGCATAGATTTCGTGAAGTGCTCCGTGGATCCTTCCGATGTAAGCTAGTACAATAAATAAAAATTACGTTCTCTTGGTCGTTGGTCTAGGGTTATTTGTTTACTCGTTTAGCGCAGGTATCATTGCGCTACATGCCACCCTTTCCGTAGCACGCAAGCATCATTTGTCTCGTGTAGTCGTAGCTCATACAAATGCGAAACTTGGCAGCATGTATCTTTGGCGCCTTATTTAGTTTGGAGGAAGGCCGTAGTGTTCCGAAAGGAAGAGATACTAAAGTGGATTCTTCGCGTGTGCGAGTGGGATGGATAGTATTTTCGGTTTTACGACGTACTTCCGGCAGGAAGTCTCGCGGAGCAATCGTTTTTCCTATTTGGGAGTAATCGTTTAGCAAGCAGTTGTGGTGGATAGTGTTGCTGGCGGTTCGCTTGTATTTCTGTGGTGAAGAGCACCCGGAACCCATTTTGTTGGGGAGTAAAAAGCGAAAACCGTTGCGTGTGAGTTGTTGTTGTGTAGAAGCCGAGAGGGAGGCGAGTGAGGCCGTTCCAGGGCTTATTGGGATTTGGTTGAACAGCTCACGCACCATTTTGTGGGATTATCGGCTCACACCACCACGTGCTATTGATTCCGCCTTCGATCACTAGGGATCCTATAACACTGCTGTGCATAGAGGCGCTAAGCCGGTTAGCTTCCGTCGTTTGGAGTTGTGGTAATTGCGGCCATTGGTTTGTGTTGTTTTCAGGCTGCACGAGTCGTTAAGCGAGCGGAAGCGTGGAAAACCCTCGCTAGAGGGTTTTCCTACTTGGCGTTTAGTTCCCGGTTTTAATTTCCGATTGGTTCTTCTCTGTTTTGGATCTTCCTTTTTTTTCTGGATCTTGGACTTGCCTGTTCTACCTGCCTCCTACCTGGCGCGTTTGGATTTATGACTGGCTCGGTTTGGGTACTACACGTTCCCGAGCAGCACGCGCACCACTTAGAAGTTCGTGCCCGCAACACGGTGTAAGCGTACGCAGCAGTGCCGTACTAGGAAGGTTGGAGCTAGGAGAGTAGACGAGTGAAACCTTATGGTTATCTATCGGTTATACACCTGAGTCAGCTCAGGTCATTTAACGTATGTAAACTTAAATTATTAGTAATGACCCTCGATTGTGTTGTAACTATAGACGCCCTCGTTTAGTGTCGAAGCTCGGTAGCTTCCCTCTCATACCATGCGCATTGTTCGAAGATATATGACGTCATAAATCGCTCGTTCGGTTTCGCGCTATCTACCCGGTTGACTTGAAACTACCGGCGGTTGACGCTAATCCTTGCGGCGCTATAGCGGGGTAACTAATAAGATCACGTTCCGATTAACCGACTTTACCTTTCCCTTTTTACATTTGTCTTATTTTAATTTTTCTTTTTTTTATATACATACTCATGTACCAACATTTGTACAATTAAACTCTAATACTCCGTGTCAACCGAGTTTGTTGTTATTGTGACCTCTCATTGGGATTGGGGTTCTCAACTCGAATAATCACTTCGTATTTAGTGGGAAGTCGAGTGCACAGTAATAAACTCTATCTCCTTGGCGGGTTAGGTAGTGTATAAATACGTGGCGCCCTTATAAAAACTCCCCACGCCCTTCTCCACTGTTTAAAAGCTGGCGGCCGCTACCGATACCCTTCTTGCCAATACTGTGTCTACGAGTGGCCCCATCTGACTTCCGCTAGACTGAGGGTCGTGTTCTAAAATATCGCCACATTTTTGGCGCCCAACGTGGGGCCATTATTTTTTTTGGAATCCATTTTTTTGTGGCTATTAGTATTGTTTTTTTGTTTGGCAATTTAAGATTCTAAAACTTGGTTGACATGTGTATTGAGAGTATCGCGTATACGATTACCGATATCTAACTAGTTCTTGATTTTTTTTTTATTTTTATTCGGCTTATCCTGCCCGCGTTATGTTGTTTAGTTCAAGGGTGTAAGTGGACTTCTGGTATATATGGTGTTAGATGGTGTGATACATTGGTAAGAAGTAGTTGAGAGTTTAGTGGCGAGTGGTAGTCTATAGCGTCATTTAGGTACCGCTCACAACGTATTTGGTTCGTATAAGCTCGCAGCAGGATGGGACGCCGTATGAACGTAAACTGTCTTACGAAAGACGAATTGACGTATGAGCTCACTTGGAGAGGTATTGCTCTGGGGACAGTTGAGCAGATGAGAAGCTCCTTAACTATGGCTAGACAGCTTGAGAGGTGTGGCGATAGCCTGCACTATCCTACATATCCTTTCAATTTCCAAGAAGATTCGTGGAAAGTTGCGAAGAAGTTGGACAGCTTGTTACCACAGCTGGAAAGGTTCTCAGGCTCGAGCAAAAGCAATGAGTATATGAGGCTCCAGAGCAGAGTAAACCACGTACTGGGCAGAATCGATAATATAACACCGACTAACCCAGAGGAGAACAGTGTAAAGGCAATATTGGTAGCCGAAGCATTAACGGCTCTGGGACGTTTGGAGGCCAACGCGACTGACTTAAGAGGTAGCGCTGACTCAGACGAGGACCATGCGTTGCAATCCGTAGTACCACAAGGCCGTAGTACACATCAGGCGAACCAGCCTCACGGAGTTGAGCAGACAACTTTTAACTCGGTACCCTTGAGTCTAGCCGTTCTCCATGATAGCACTGTACTTCGTCCGCCCGCCAGTACGCAGACTTCTTACAACCCCCAGCCCAAGACCTCTTCTCCAGTGTCTGCAGAGATTTCAACGCAACAGGCTCATTCCTTTGGCCATGGAGGCCACATTAAGTCAATTCTTCCCCATAAGTGGAACTTGAAGTTTTCGGGCGATAAACGCGGGATGTCGGTCACTGCCTTTTTCGAGAAGGTGGAAGAGCTTAGCTGTGCGAGAAACGTCAATAAAGCAATACTCTTGAATTCAGGGATAGACCTTTTCGAAGGCCGAGCATATGATTTTTACTTGGACTGCCGTGGTGAGGTGTACAATTGGGATCAACTTGTGCAACGATTTAAAGAAGAGTATCAAGCTCCGTTCTATAGCGAGAAATTGCTGGAAGAGATAAAGAGGCGTACCCAAGGTCCGGATGAAACCATTGGTACTTATCTGGCTGTGATGAATAAGTACTTCCAACGGTTACAATGCCCAGTTTCAGAAGCAATAAAATTAACTATCGCACTGAGGAACATTTCTCCGTTATACAGAAGCCAGCTTGGGGCTTTGCAGATTTCGAGCCTCTCGGAACTCAAAACTTTGTGTCGAAGGATCGAGCAGAGGATGCAAACGGATTATATGCCCCCTCCTAGGAGAAATCAATCTCTCGAGCCGGA